ACCTCCGCTGTCCTCTCCGTCGCTGTCGTCGTCCATATCATCCCAACCGCCGCCATGGCCGTCGGAATCTACACCACACAGACAGACAGAGAAGAAATGCCATCCATCCATCCATGACCACCATGTGTGTGTCCCATCCTCCCCTGACCGCACCGTCGTCATCGTCATCCTGCTGCTGTTGTACTTGTCCGTCGAAGACGTATGGCGCCACTCGCCCCAGCGCCACACGGGCCAGCTGAGTGGTCACGGGGTAGCGGTCCTTGAAAGGCGCATCCTCACTCACACGAGCCGCAGGCGCCTCGGTTGTCTTAACAATAACCATTACTGCAGACAATGACAGTCAGAAAGAAAGGAGAAATGTGGCAGTTGACGAGCAAAGCTGCCTGTCTATCGACCTGACCGGTGCCGTCCCCCCAAACCGAAATGCCAATCCACGCGACGAAGTCGTGGCTGGTGTTGGTGAGCACCAGAATCCGCCAACGACCACCCCCGCTGAATGTGGTGGTGCATCCGGCCACCGGTGTGTGGGGCGACTGGGTGAGGAGGCCATCCAGACGGCCGCCACCAACACGCCTGAACCAACCACACACACACATACACACACACACACATACACACACATACACACACATACAGTAATCAGACCACTCTCGCCACTGGTGGCATTGATGTGTTACCTGTTGAGTCGTATCCTTGTGCCAGTGGTCTGGTGGGTCTTGCTGAAGTGTTGGAAGATGATGTCCTTGGCCAACGAAGACACTAACGCATCGGTGTACGGGCCAGCGAACGACACCCATTCGCGGGCGGTGTCCCAGTGGATGCAGCTGGCCACTGGTGGGTCATGCTCTAGTCGGTGCCGCTGACACAGATGGTCGGCAGGGAGGAGCGGGTTGATCGTCAGCTCGAAGCCGGGCTCGTCCTTGATGGCCCGCACCTCACCATTGGCACGGCGGAAGATCCGCAGGCAGCTGCCGTCACCGAAGTCGATGTGGCGGCCGACCACCATCAGCTGCGCCAACACACGAGCTACCGATCTAAACGCCTAGACCACACCACACACACAGACAGAGAAGAATGAATGGGGCCTCTCTGTTCTCTCCCCGCCCCTCTGTGTGTGTGCCTTACCGTCTTGTTGGCGTGTGTGCGAATGTCATTGGCTGTGAGGTTGACGGGCAGTGTGCAGTAGCGGCACTGGCTGGCCCACTGCAGCACCTCCCGCGTCTCGTCCCACCGCCCGCCCTCCTCGGCGATCCACACCGCCGCCATGAGGTCACCCATCCCCAGCGATGGGTCGAACTGCACCAGCTGCAGCCGCTGAGTGTTGATGCCATCTCCGTCACGGCTCAGTGAGTTGGCGAGGCGGTTGCGCAGCTCGGCTACGGTGAAGGCAGCCCGGATGCGCCGCGATGTGGCCCTCAGGCGGGAAACCGTGACGATGTCGGGCAGATGGCCTCGGCTGCCGACAAACAAGTAGTTGACGGGGTGCTCCTGGGCAGCCATCGTCCCGTCAGCCGCCCCAGCCGTCACGCCAAGCCGTCAACACATCGCTACGACGGAAATCACATGCGCTGGTACTCGGTTGTGTTCTCATTGGTCAGGAGCTGGCCCAGGAGCGTCTGGGGGTGTCGCTCGACAGTCGATCTGGTCATGTGGGCCGGGTGGGGGCAAGGGGAGACTTCAAGCCGTTTCGTCTACAGACTGCATGACTGTATTTTTCTGCGCATGTTTCTTCCTTTTTCATTCACAGATGTACATATCTATGTACAGTCATTGAGACCCGTCCACACGCAGTGCTCCCAAGCGACAAAGCGAAACAAGGACAGCAGAATGAATGAATGGGTGAGAGGAATCGAACGCACAGACAATGAACGCCATCTTAGCCACTCTCGCGGATGTTGTCCTGGAATTTCTGAATAAAGGATGACAGGTTGTCCACAATGGAATCCTGAGCAAAACCACGGTCGTCCGCCTCCCTATCCAAAGACACAAAAGACGCACGGGCAGACATATATACAGACCCAGAGCAATGTCTCTCCACTGTCCGTTTGCGTTGCATTCCTCTGCTGACTTTTCGATGTCTTCTCTGAGTTTTTGCACGGCGAGGGCCGCCAACTGCTCGCCCTTGAGCTGCCTCTTCTCCAGCTTGTCCTGCTCGACGGTCGTGTCGTCTCGAAGCTTGTCGATCTGAGAGACAGCGGTGGAAGCTGTGTGATGTGATGTCTGGTGTCGGTGGTATGTCTCTCTCTCTCTCTCACCATGACTTCCAGCTTGAATCTTTCCTGCTCCAGATCTTTCCTGTGCACATCAAAGTGCTCCCTCATCTTTTGCGCGACCTCTTTCTGCACCATCAATGGTGAGACAACGAGTGCAGTGCAGCACGCATGTCACTTTCTGGCTGGTTGGCTGTGTGGATGCTGTGAGTGAGTGGCTGACTGACCTCTTTCTGCAGTCTGTGTTTCCTCTCTGTCTCGAGCCCCTCGTTGAGGTGCTCCACGTTCTTCTGTACCGCACCCAGTGTGTCCTCTACAGCCTTGACGCGCTCGTCCTTCTCCTGGCAATCGGGTGATGCGGACAAAGAAGAAAACAGTCCGGTCTATGCGGTGTCTGTCTCTCGCACCTTTTGCAGCTCTTCAAAGCATTTCTCAATCTGCTGGTCCAGCACTTTGATGTCACCCCTGCAGGAAGGAGACAGCAAGAGAGAGAGACACACACACAGACAGATGCATGCATTTGCGCGGTGGGCTTTTCGCGCACTTGAGCTCTTCGTATCGCTCCTCCAGAGCTGCCTTCTGCTCTTCCCGGAGACTTGACAAATCGAACTCAAATTTCTGAATACACAAAGGCGAGGCGGACAGTCGGATGGAAAGGCGAGAAAATGGCGTTATTGGTGTTCATGTTATCATTACGCTTTGGAAGGACTTGATGATGTCCATCAGCCTCTTGGTCTCTGCAGGACAGACAGACAGACAGACAGACAGACAGACACCAACATACTGCACGGGAGTGAAGCCATCCCCATCGACCCGCCCAGGTGACCTGCTTGGATGAGGTTGTTTGTTGCTTGTATCCTCATAAGCACATCCTGGTGCCTCTCCTCCTGCAATCGTCTCTGCTCCTCACGCATACGCTGCGCCTCCTCAAACACACGAGCCATCGCCATCACCTGCATCGATCACACACAGACAGACAGCCATCCACACACGAAGGGGGTGAGTGGTTGTGTCTTTGCCTCGCGCACCTGTCCCGCCAGCGCATTGAGTTTCTCGTCTTTGCTGCTGGGAAGGTCTTCCTTTCTTGTTGTCCTCTCCATGCCCTCTGACCCCTCCACTGCCCTCCTCTCGATGGCCTTGGCGCCCACACTGCTCCTCAGCTCCGCCTCCCTGACCATGAATCATCAATCAGAATGGGTGGATCGCTACATGCACCGCATACACGATTCCGTCTGGGCCGTACGTACCTGATGGTCATGACTTGGCTCTTGTTCAGGCCGTCTGCTTCGTGCTTGCCCAGTCCCCCAACAGAGCGCTTCTTGTGGCTTCCAGCCGGACTGGACACCTCGGCATTCCGCAAACGGCTACGCGTCGACATCGGACTATCAGAGGCAAGAAGCGACGGAGTACTGAAAGGGATCTTCACATCTCAGCTCGCAAAGTTTCGGGCCCCGCGTGAAACCGCTCTCTCTTTCACTCCTTTCCTTTTTCAGTCGATGACGCGCAGTGGTGCAGAGCGAAAACGACGCTGGTAAAGCAAGGCTGCTCGCACCTCATGCATCCCCTTCGCATGCCCTTCCTCTGTGTGTGTCTGTGTGTGTCCATCGACAGGAAGCTGAACAAGCGCCTTCAGGCCACCGCGTCGTGGCTGGGGGGTGACGGCCAGTCTGACTCGACATGGATCTCCCACGCGGGCAGCGCACCGGCCATCCTCAACCCATCGATGGTCATCACACCTCGAGGCTTCTCGAGGCCACCAGGGGGGCCTGATGAGCGGCGGACCGATGGGGGGAGTCCAATGGTGCCGCTTCTGGGGAGCGGTGGCTTCCCGCCTCGCGTGTCTGGGCAGGCCGCGTCTGACAGGGGAGGGGTGACCTTGTCAGACAGGGAGTTCCAGATGGGCAGCCAAGACTCGGGCGGATCTCTCGGTGCGCGAGGGAATGGACGGGGATTGTCCACTGCTGACCTCACTTTCTGTCTGTTTCTGCCAGGTGACGAGTCTGAGGATCCCCGGTTTCCTGCTTTCAGCGAGCCGGCGCCATACCATCTCTCAGGTCACACACACAGCCGGCCATATGTGCGCTTGCATCCACACGTCTTGTTATTTTGTTCTTCCTGCATGTAGCTGCGGAGCGTACGTGTCTGAAGACGCTGGCCCGCATGCGTGAGGCGATAGACCCCGCCAGTCCCTTCCACATGCTGATGGACCGGCTGTGTCGCATGGTCTTCAAGAAGGACTTCTGTGTGCTCGACCAGTGGACGAGGGCAACCACTACCATGATCGAAAATGTATGCCAGCCAGCACTGCTGGAGAGCACCCCCATGGGCTCCGCATGTCAATGGATACTGTGTGGTGGTGTGTTCAGGCGACGGCGAGCGCGATCGAGGTTGAGGTGGCCCAGTGCGACTTTCTCTGCCTAAACCCCACCATCCACGAGGCAGCCGGAGATAAGGTACTCACCACATCGCAACACGATGACGCCCCACCACGCATTGACCATTGTCTGTTTCGGCCTGCCTGCCTCCGTGCCTGGCTGCCTGCAGTCCTTCCCTCCTGACGTGAATCGGAAGATGATGCGTGGTGGGGAGGCGTACGTCATCCCCTCTGGCTGGTGCCGCCTGGGCATCAAGGGCGGAGAGCTGCCGTCACACTGGTGTGTCGCATTCGCCGGTACGCAACCCACCACATACTCACACAGCCTCAGACACAGCCACATGCGATGGATGAATGTGTGTGTTTGTGTGTTCAGGCAAGAACTTCTCTCGGCGGAACTCGCTGTTTGAGAACAACATCCTGCTGCCGGGCATCTTCTACCGCGACGGCACTGTCCTGCTGCGCCGCTTCGACGTCCCCCCGCCGAAGTCCCCCGCACTCACACCCTTCGCCACGGCCGCACCCACACCATCGCCTCCCCTGCTGCACAAGGAACTCCCGGCATCCAGCCACAGCGACACGTCCTTTCTCTCCCTGCAGTCATCCGAGGCTTCGGGCAGCGAATTGGACAGCGAGCGGCAGCAGCGGCGTGCGACATCTGCGGTGGAGGGGCGGGCGATGCGAAACCTGCCGGCGGTGACGGAGGCGTCTCAGAGTGTGCACTATGCGGGGCTGCACTCGCAGCCCCATGCGCTGGAGCGGTCGTATGTGCAGTTCTCATTCCAGGTGCTGGTGCACCCGCAACACGTCAGGCGGACTAAGGGTAGGGTGAGCGGGGGAAATCCATCCACACATTCACAGAGATGAGTGTGACGATTGTGTATCGTGTCTGTCGGTGTGCAGGCCAGCTGGCGGCGGCCATATGGCCCTGTGAGCTGCCTTTTGACCCCAACTACCCGGACAACGAGCTCGAGTGGCACATACGCGACCCATCCAAGGTCATCATCATGGGCCTCCTATTCAGAGAGGTCAGCGAGCGACCGCACAGACGTCCATAGTGACAACACACAACAGCGGCCTGCTCTGTGTGTGTGTGCGTCAGGTGGCGGTGCATCCGTTCGACCTGAATCTGCGTCGGCAGCAGGAGGTCGAGGCCTTCAGGCAGATGCGCATGCGCGAGCCACCCGCCATATGGCTCTACAAATACGCCGACCACTCACAGCCTGTCCGATTCCCAACCGGTGAGGAAGCGAGACCACACACACACACCCTCATGTCATGCACAAGGACAGGCAGGCAGGCAGATCGGCCCACGGCTGTGTCGTGTTGTGTCGTGTTGTGTCGCGTTGTGCTGTGTGTCAGGCATCCAGAGTTTGCTGAACAGTGAGTATCGTGCGGGCAAGGCGCGATCATCGGCATTTCGGCTTGAAGACATGGACATCCATGGAGCCTGTTAGCCATCATAGACAGGCGGGGAGGGAGCCAACACCAACAGCCGTCTCTCTCTCTCTCTCTGTGTGTGTGTGTGTGTGTGTGTGCAGTCGCGCCCGGTGCGCCTGCGGTGTTGTGGGACGTCGTCTTCATGATCCCTGCCCTCAGACAGGTACGCACACACCAGCCACATACCCCTCTTCATCTGTCAAGGTATCGTTCTTTCCGTCAGGTGAACAACCCTACAGTGTGTTTCTCGGTCACCCGTGTGGTGCAGGACGACCGGCCGGCCCCCCACGACCCACTGCGCGCTCTCGGGAGCGACAGCAGCGCGGCCCCCATCACCGTCGACCTTGCCAACTTGCGGGGTCACCACTTCATCCCCGGCATGCGGGAGGATACTAATCCGCCGGGCGTGGGTGGTGTGGGTCTGGGGCTGCGTCTGCTGCCGCAGTTGCCGCAGTCTGAGGGGCCGGGGCTGCCCAGGACAGAGGCTATCGACCACGCCAGATGAGCCGTGATGGCGAACCGGAGAGGCGAGAGGGGGCGCTCAGCTACTACTATTTTTCTTGGCTGACCTGGTGCGACCAACGTGCATCTATCTGCCCACCTCATGTGACAGATGCACCATCTCACGTGTCTATGTTCCCCTTGCGTACGGCACGGGGTTAAGTGGCGAGGTGCGGAGACGTCCTGCGGGGTGCTGTATGCGTGTGTGCCTGCTTGACTGGTGTGTGTGGAGTTGGGGTGTAGTGGTTGTTGAGGGTTTGAGCGTCGGAGCTCCCGCTCCCATATGTTCCTTATAAGGATGGGAGAATGGGAGACACTCGCTGACAATTGCGTGACTGACTGGCCGACCGACTGGCTGACTGGCTGACTCGCTGAATGAGGGGCAACATGGGGATCATGAGAGTGTGTGACCGAGTCGATTGCATGCATACACATAGATTGCATGCATACACATACATGCCTTCAGATGGAGACACAGCATCGCCAGGTTGTGTCTGCCATTTATTGCCTCTTGTGGTTGTGCGCATCTGTTGGAGCTTTTCTATTTTTGCGCGTCCATGAATGGCCCTCCACATCTGCCGGAGGTCAGAGTCAGCTCAGATAAATCCACTGCGCGTCCGTGTGACCTTGCAGCCACCGTGTATGTGTGACTTGTCAACCTTCAGCGGTATCGTCGGCCTGGTGGTGAGGGCGGGGCTCACTGCATACATTAAAGTGTGTCCCCACTCTCTGCAGGCAACGCGACCGAAAGATTTGCTCCCTTCGGCCGAAGATATGCTTCCTTCGGGTCGGCGTGAAACAAACACAGAAAGGGTACCGTGATTCCACGGTAGATATGGGGCTCCAAGGTCTTCGCACGCGACACAACGCTCCGTCATTTTTTGCGAGGAAGGCTTTGGAAGAGTGTCTGGATAGAGCGTCATCTCCGTGAAGATCCGTCCCCCGGCCCCATTCTCGCACGAGTGACCCCTTCGTCCCCTCCCCGTCACCAAGATGGACGCCAACACGATGATGGATGACCGCACTCAAAGGATGTTCGAGCTGGAACTGATGCGACTGGTAAGCCTCTCACTCGTCAATCATTCATTTATCCATCCATCCATCAAGTGCGTCCATACGCAATTGCCAATGTGTGGTCACTGCGGTGCAGGACGGCCACAGCCCCAGGAACGCCGGCAAGGTCAGCTCACAAGAGGAGATCGAGATGGTGGCGGCCCCCCAGGAACGCCGGCAAGGTCAGCTCACAAGAGGAGATCGAGATGGGTGCAATACAAGCGGCGGGTGGCTGTCAGACCAGGCACGGACATAGCTGCAGACGTCATGATCAAGAGAGCCCCTCGCGACGCGATACACAAACGAATGAATTATGTTAACTGGTATGTAGGATACATCCACAGATATCATCTTGACATGCTTATTGTATGCTGCTTCTGGCAGGTTTTTCGCTCTGGTGGTGGTGTTTCTTGCCGTGATCCATGTGCTGGCTGAGCAGGTCGTAGCCGACCTGCCGTCATTCTACGACGAGTATGTCCTGCACAGCACATCCACAGCGACATGCAGTCACGCGAAGAATCCGTGTTGCCTGTGCTGTGGCACGTCATGTGTCACAGCTATGGTTTCTTTGCTTTCCCAACCATACAATCATACATCGACCAGAGCACCAACACGACCAAGCACTACCGGGTCGAGAGCAGCGGCTTGAGTGTCTTTTATGCCATTCTGTGGGCACTGGTCGCGACGGCGGGGCTCTACACCTTCATCCTGCACGCCGCCTTTTTTCGCCGCAAGATATCGAATCTAAACCGCCACAAATGGAAGTCTTTCGTGCGGGCCCATCAGCGCAGACAGAGCATCAAGCAGCTCCACACAATCTCTCAGAGACACATCTCTAAGAGGTCGGTCGGCGGACAGGCTACGGAAGGGCTCGACGAGACCAGGTGGAGTGCCTGTTTGCGATCCGCGCGCATCATTTGGATTGAGGCGCTGCTGCTGCTCGAGGCTATACTGGGCGTAGGTGGACGGTAAGCGAAGCGAGCGACAAGTGTCTCGGTGTGCTATCTATGGGTCTCATGCAGCTTATTTTGGACTTCGTACTTCGTCGATGAGATTTTCACGGGTCATTTACAGCTCTATCGCGTTTTCTATATAGGCGGCTGGGACATCTTGCGTACGCACGGCGAAACACCTCCAGGTAGGTACATGGATGCTGCGAAGAATGGGCCCATCTTCTCTGTCTTTGTGTCGGCTGTACGCACTAGGTCACTGGGCGGCTTTCACCTCGCTGTCTCTGATAATTGCTCTGCACTCATGCGTCTTGCTGTGGGCTTGGCTCTCAAAGAAGCGGGGGCTGGCCATCTTGCTTTCATTTGTGGTCAACATGACTTATGCCGCACACCAAATTGGGACTGGACTGGACTGGACAGGCCGAACGAGAGGAGTCACTCTTGGTAGCGTCACAAGAGCCTGCCTTCTTGTTCGATGGTGTGTGCATTCTTGTGCTCATGTCGGCGTTCAGGTACTCTCGTGCAGCTTCGGTCCGCCAACTTTTTGTTCTTCTTGGCGGTGTGGTATCCACTCTGGAAAGAAGCCCATACCTTGCACACGCTCGATGGACTGATCATGGTGCGCAACTATCTGCGGTGGAAACAACACAACGCCAGGAAACTGCACCCTAGTAAGCAGCCAAAGACAACGACACTCGTGAGTTCGCCTTTCAGAGAACATGCTTTGGGCATAATGGATGGATGCAGCAATCCAGCCGAGAACGACGTGCATGCGGCCCCTGCCGATGCCCGCCTTGCGGATGTGGCAAAAGATGCGGACTCGTCCGCTGAGCCTCTCAGCCATGTGCCCGAGGAGGTGATGCAAGCCAAGAATCAAGCAGAGGGCGCCCCGACCCCCGTCAGACGCAGCAAAAGCAGCCTTGAGCACAGTGACATGCTGCTCGAGCAAGCGGATGATATGTCTCTGCCGTCGGACGATCACCCGGTTCTGTCTCCCGTCCACAAGTCCGACACTCGAACGGGGCGATCCAGCATCAGGTCCGCCACTATCCCACGTGTGGGAGCGGCGAATAAAGAGCCCCCACCGACAAGGCGTCTGAGAGGGCCATCGATTGTCAGTGCTCTTGCTTATGTGAAGCCCATTCAGCCAAGTGAAGCGTCCCGGGCCACAACAACATCAATGATATCGGCGGCCAGCTGGCACCCCGATGACCACTCGCCAGCAATGGTCACAGTGCGGTCCCACCTGACGGATCTGGTATCAGAGGTGACTGCCCTTGCAGGGCTGGGTGACCCAGACAGCCCAGAAGGCAAATTCAGCAATGCACAAGATCAAGAGCAGGAAGACAATCGCGAGATGGGATCCGAGAGGCGTGGAAGGCTGTTGCGGCTTCTCAGTGTTCTTGGTCGGGTTGAGAGGAACGTTCCTACACCAATCGCGGTCATTTGGTTCCTGATCTGCGTGAGAGCGACAGACAAGCAAAGCCAAGAATGAATGCCAAACGGACCGTTTCCCCCATGTGCCTTCAGTTGACCCTGTTGACTTTCCTGGTGACACAAATGATCCGCTCATCGGTGCAGTGCCCCACGTAAGGCCATCCACTCACACGAAGGAGAAGTGGGCCTTCCTGACCTTACAGCTGGTGCATCACAGGATTTCCGGATACAAGTACTGTCTTCAAAAGGTGGGCTCGTAGCAAGGGATCCACATGACAAGTGGATGTGCCTGATAGTAGCCTGTGTCGTAGACGTACCCGCCATGGGGCACAGAGAAGAACGCCATGGTACGCCAAACAACACCGCGCGAGAAACGCTGTCCACAAGTGTCGGCTTCTCTCAAGTGATCCATTTGTGGATGCAGCGCCCGTGCAACTGCCGTCAGTACGGGGCGGGATTTGGCGTGGATCCAAGAGAGTTTCGGGACGGCATCGACGAGTACACTACCATTGAAGGTATCGGTGTTGGCTTCGATTCCTCGTCGACAGAAAGAGTTCTCAACGCCAAGCAAAAACTGCCTCTCCAGGCCATACCCGACTCGATTCACCACCACAAATTCCTTAAATGTATGCCTCGCTCAGCAGAAAGGAGCCCAACATGTCAAGCCGTTTGTTTCCGTTCAGACATTATTTATCAGTTGAGCGCGATCAGCTCATTGCCACGAGCGCTGCTGGCCCTGCCGGATTTGGAGTATATAAATCTCGCTTTCTGCGATATCGGTAGCTGTGTATGTATCCCTCAAACAGCCAGCCAGCCAGCCAGCCAGACAGCCAGACAGTTGCAATGTCTCTCACAGACAGACAGTTGCAATGTCTCTGTGCTCACCAGGCGAGGTGCCTGACTGGCTGCCGTATCTTCCCAAGCTGAAGGCACTGGACCTGCGATTGAACCGCATCGCCAGTCTTCCCTTGACGATGACCAAGGCAGCTAATACCCTGAACAACCTCTTTCTGCTGCTCAATCCGATCTGCTTCAATGGTTGGTTCGACACCATCACTGACAGAGACATGCAGCGACTCTTCGATCGGCTGAAGCCCTGCCCCGACATCATCCAAGACCCATTGAGACCCGACACCAGAGCAAGGGCCATTGACGAGGGCCACCTGCAGATCCATACACTGTCCGGGGCAACCGCTACAAGCGATGAGTGCCTTCCGATCTGCACGCTGGTATCACTCACATGACACGGACAAAGGTGCAAGAGAACTCTGCAAATGTCCGTTTGTGTGTGTGTGCAGATGCACTCGTATTTCCGGGGGCTGGACGGCAATTTCGACAATTCTTTGTGTTTCAAGGAGATTGACAACGTGATATCGGTTGAAAAGGGGGTGTACGACAGCCTACTCAGACACTACCAGGCAGACGACCTCACCCTGCCATGCGCAAAATGGAGTAAGGCAGTATGTATGTGCAAGCGAAATGATACGTCCATACTACTTATGTTGCTGTCCCTTTCCCTCAGCGACAGTGATGCAGTACGGAAGCCACGATATTACTGACTGCTCAAGCTGTTCCTTTGCCATCACCGAGGTGGACCACCAGCGGCAGCACACGGGCGACCTCAGCACCGGTTCGACAGAAGCGAGGTGGTCCACACTGCCTGTTGCTGTCGTCGAGTCTAATGTGGGCCAGAGACACCAGAGATGCAGGCAGCCATGTTGATTTTGTGTGTGTGTGTGTGTATGTGTGTGTGTATGTGTATGTGCGTGTGCGCGGCAGGTGACCGGCAATGCTGTGTGGCACAACGACAAAGTGTATCTGCTCGCCAGCCAGATCCATGTCCATCCGCCGGCAATCCTCACCATCGAGCCAGGTGCACACATGATACGCTGTATCATGCCCGGCCTGTCAGACTTCATTGTATCGTGTGTCTTCTCACGCACAGGCACATTGATCCGTGGCGTCAACGTCATCAAGCGGGGCTTCTTCACTGGGTGAGAGCACCTCACATGTACACAATATGTGTGAATGCTGCAGACACGTATTTGTCGCAGCCTCACCAGTGCTCTGGTCGTCAATCCAGGCGCGAAGATATACGTCGCAAACAAGAGACACACACCGCATCAGCACAGAATTGAATTGAATGGATGTGTGTCACCCGTTCTCAGGCGAATGGAACAAAGGAGCAGCCGATCACCTTCACCGGTGAATGAAAATGACCGGTGAAGGATTCACCGCCTCTTTTCACTTTCAGCTGAGGACGTTAATGACGAGACCAAACCCGAGAGGGAAAAGTGGGGCGGCCTGGTGATCCTGGGCAAGTGGGTCTCGCAGCACAGGCAGACAGACAGAAAGAAAGACAGACAGACGTGTTTGTCGCTTTCCCTCCTTTACAGGGCGCCTACCAACAACGGCGGTGACGATGGCATGGACGTCATCGACAGCCTCGTCCCTGAGGTCAAATACGGAGGTTGGTGCGATCGGACTCAACCACTATCACACAGTCAATCGTTCTCCTTTTTCATCAGGGACGAATGCGAGTGACGATTCCGGTGTCCTGCGGTACGTGCGTGTGTGGTATGGCGGAAAGGAGATCGGCGAGAACAACGAAATCAACGGAATTACGTTCGGCAGTGTGGTGGGATTAATCAATGAATGACGTGTGGATATGCATTCACGTAGCGCATGTACATGATGGGAATTGCAGGGAAATGGGACCACAGTCGAGTATGTGGAAGTGGCATTCGATGTTGACGAGTGAGCGAGAGGGAGACAGGGCGATTCAGAGACACCACTATATTGTGCCTGTTGCTCTTTCAGTGGAATTGAGCTCTTTGGTGGCACCGTCAACCTGCGCTACGTGTCTCTCCGTGTAAGACGGAGGACATACGTAGAGTCGCTCACATTGCGATGTGCCACATGATGGATGCAGTGCAATGGAGACGATTCGCTGGACGCCGACAACGGCTGGCAGGGCAAGGCACAATTCATCTTTATTGTCGTCTGTAAAAACGGGACTCACGAGGAAGGTAGGAGAGAAGCAGAGACACGCGGAAAGCCAGCACTTGACGTGCATCGTCTGCTTCTGGTCCATTCGGAAATTCAGATCGTTACTTGATCGACAAAGCGTTTGAATTCGATAGCAACGGCAAGGGTTTTGATTTGGAGCCAAGGACCCACCCACAAATCAGCCACGTGACAGTCCTTGGCCCCGGCAGCAGCAACGACACATGGGAGCGGACGGCGGCATCGAAGCGGCTGTTCGAGTTCAGGGAAGGGGCGGGAGGGACGTACGTCAACTTCATTGTGACGGATGCCGAGGCAGGTATCGACTTCGACGACTTCGATGAAGACGGTACGAACAAAACCATGCAGATGGAGTCACTGAGTCACTGCATCATTTGTATGCGACTGTATACGGGCGCCGCTCCGTTCACTTCGTCCTACCCCAATGAGACGAGTCCCCTGCAGTTCCCGGACTTCTTCTATTGGTCGCCACTCGCCATCATGCACAACATCGACGCACTGCGATACAAACCCGATGTCAGCACATCTGTCCCTGAGCCCATCGACGTGCTAACCGTCGACCCCATGCTGAATCAGGCAAACACACACACCACAAAAGAGACACGAGCGCTCGCACTTCCTGTTCGACCGACACACCTCCTCAGCCGCCGCACGATGTCTCCACCAGCTGTGCATGTATGGCTATGTGAGCGACACCGACAGCAATTGCCGTGCGGTGGGGAGACGCGGAGCAGAGCTTGCCCAACGTTCCCTCGCCCCCCTTGCCCCAGCACTGCGGCCATCATCCAACACTGGGCAGATGCGATGTCTCGGCGTCCCCCACACGCGAAAAGCGCCTCAATGTAGCAAGAAGTCAGTGGGGCACCCAGTCAGCTCGTCACGTCGACATCGCCGTCCGCGAGGCAAAGCATTCCCTTTGACGAGCCGCAGTGCCGACGCAGAAAGCTTCTGCAACCAAGTCCCTCTGTGCTGTCTCTCATGCCCGTGTTGGAGCCGCTCGCCGTATGCAGCAGCAGCAGCAGCAAGGAAAGGATACCAAGGCGAATGCGGCTGACCATGTCAATGGCAAGACCAACCGAGGTGACGCAGTGCGAACAGGCCCGAACCTGCCAACGCAGAGGGGGTCTGCGTCAGCTTGGTGTTTCTCTGGCCCTCAGACAAGCCGTAGCCACGCTGACCACTCATCTGTTTCTCTGTCCGCGTTTCCAGAGAGAGCGGCCGTCCGGCGACTGACTGTGTCGGCCGGCTGACGAGAGTGAGAATGAGCCGCCACAAAGCTAGCCCTGTCGAGAGGATTCATCTTTTGTGCGACGGGCAGTCTTGTTTGCCCTCACGGGTGGCAGTTTCTCGTGTTTGTACAATAGGTGGGTGCTTCTGACGAGGGTTTTAGCCTTGCTACTGAGTGAGTGAGTGGGGTCTCTGTCTTTTGCTGCTAGGGAGTATTTTTGCTGCGTGGCTTCAACTGACTCCATACACGCGCACCCTCCTCGATGTACGTGTCCCTTCCTTGGCTGTGCTCCATAAACAACACTTCACTTTATGTCCGTCGCGGCACACTCACATGCAGACACACTCCACCACAAAGTCATCGAGAGAGAGAGAGGCATGGCAGGCGAGTGAGTTAGCCAGACAGTCACACACAGTCACACATCGGCCGAACCATCAAATCAAAATCGGCCGGCCGGCAGCGGAGAGCGCGAAGTGCGCCCACACCCCCACGTACACCCACAGGCAGCCAGCCATGAGGACGGGCAGAGATCTATACACACACAGAAATACAGATGGAGGGAAGAAGGGCTACATATAGAGGAGAGATACGCACGGGCAACAAGACGAACCAACTGACGCCTGCATCAGAGGCATGGAACCCTTCACCACAACAGCCACCCATCCAGCCATTCGGCCACACGCCACCACCACCACAAATATCAGCTGCTGCACTATGGTGGCCCGTCTTCCACCGACACACAAACGGATCGGCGACAGAGATGATCACAGCCGGCGCCCAAGAGATACCATCCTGATGGCACACAACACACATACCAGTCTGGGCGACATTCAGCCACATGACAGAGGATATGAATCGCTGCTCACCCACCAATATTGACTGATCGATCAGTCGCCGCTCTCCGCCTCAGCTGCTGCATCCTCACCTGTCGAGTGCACAGGACACACACATAGGTGAAAGTCATTCGGGTCGACGTGAGGGCCTCTGTGGTGTGTGTGGCTGTGTACCTCCGCTGCCGTCATCCATATCGTCACCCTCGTCGGAATCTGCAGACCACTCACAGACACAGAGAGAGAAGGCACTTCATCCATCCATCCATCCATCCATGTGTCTGTGTGTCAGTACCATCGTCGTTATCGTCATCCTGCTGCTGCTGCTGCTGCTGTACTTGTCCGTCGAATACGAATGGCGCCACCGCCCCCAAGGCCACACGAGCCAGCTGAGTGGTCAACGAGAAGCGGTGCTTGAAGGGACCCCCCTCACAGACAGCCGCCTCAGTTGTCACCACAGACATACCCACTGCACATGAGGGGCAGAAGACCACGCGACGTATGACCAGCGGAGCATCCCCTCTGTCAGTCTGACCGTCGTTGTTTCCTGCTCCGCTGATAACAATCCATGCGACAAAGGGGTGGCTGCCGTCGGTCTGCACCAGCTGTCGCACATTGCCGTGCAACCCGATTGCGGTAGTGCAGCCTGCCACCGGTGTGTGGGGCGACTCGGTCAGCAGGCCATCCAGACGGCCGCCACCAACGTACCTGAACCAAGCACAGCCAAAGACACAGGCAAAGACCCACCCTCGTGCCTTCAGTGCCATTGATGTGTTGTCACCTGTTGAGCATTATCGATGTGTAATGGGTCTGATGAGTCAGCCTGAAGTGGTCGAAGACCATGCACTTGGCAAACGACGACACTGACGCATCGGTGTCCTGGCCACCGTCGGTGGATATCCATCTACCGCCCTCGCCCCAGTAGTAGATGCCCTCACGCACCGGCGGGTCGTGTGGCTGCCGGTGCTGCTGGTACAGATGACCGGCAGGCAGGAGCGGGTCGACCTCCAGCTGGAAGCCCGGCTCGTCCTTGATGGCCCGCACCTCATCGCCATGCTGGAACAGCTGCAGGCAGCTGTCGTCACTGAAGTGGACGTGGCGGCCGACCATCTTGAGCTGCGCCAACACACGGGGAGCCGACACATACGCCTACACACAGGACCACACAGACAGAGAGAATGAGGCCCTCTCCCTCCCCTCCCCGCCCCTCTGTTTGCTGGCTCACCGTTTTGCTTGCGTGTGTGTTGATGTCATCGGCTGTGAGGATGACAGGCAGCTCACAGCTGTCGCACTGCCCCGCCACCTCAATCACCTCGCCGATCTCGTCCCATGGCCCCTCCTCCACCACACACACAGCCGCCAAGAGATCATGTGTGCCGAACTGGTCGTCGTCGAACCGCAGCAGCTGCACTTGCTGCCCATTCACCGCCCGCCGCAGCCCCGCTTGTGAGCCCAGCGAGTGGCGGAGCCGATCTCTCAGCTGGGCCGCTCCGAAGAGGTCTCTCAGCCACGTGCAGGTGGCCCTCAGCCGCAGGACGTCCTTGATGCTGCTGAAGAGGTAGAAGGTGCGGCGGCCGACGAAGATATACGAGAAGGGGTGCTGCTGCTGCTGCTGCTGCTGCTGCGGTGGCTGCATCTGGGTAGCTATGATGTGCTCGACGACAGCCTGCACAGAGCGACAGAGCCGACAGAGGATCGTGTGCATCAAGCATGCTGCTCATTGATCTGTGTGCTGCTCACCTCGTTCGATGCTCAGACGGACAGATCAGCATGCAGAGAACTGAATGCACCACCACCACCACCACCTTTACCACCACCAGCAGCAGCGGCAGATGAGGAGGCCGCCATCACTCCTCAACGACACGCCTGCAGCCATGGGCCGACAGAGAGAGAGAGAGAGAGAGAGATGCCAACACAATACCACGGCCAACGCATTGAGGCCAATTGATCAGTGAGCGCATCAGTGAGTCAGTCAGTGAGTGATCGGCCTCCCTCACCACTGTTTGGCTGTCAGCTCAGTGGCCCGCCATCTCACCGCAGCAGCCGAGAGGGATGACTGACTCGAGTGTTTCCTCTCGCCCTCTTGTCGGCCGAGTGCGTCACTCTCTCAAACGCACAGCTCTCCGACCAGGGCACAGCGCCTCGCACGTAGGGTTACAGGGTAAGAAACCCTTTAGCCCCTCAGACCCTCTTGCTGGATGGCTCCTTATCCTCGTTCCCCCCTTTCCCTCTCAGGTCCGCAGCCCTCTGACCGCCCTGCGCCCAGATGTGCATCTTAAAGGGCACCACACGCGATGAAGCGTTAACGGCCGCTGTACAGTGTGCATAGCGGCTCACACAAGATGCCCGCGTCTGCAGCCCTCCTCATCATGTCCCTTGCCATCTTCTTCCTGTTGGGCATCGCGTCGGCGCAGCATGACCTGCCTGGGGATGGTGACGCATTTCTGCAGTCGACAGCAGATGCAGCTCAGCACGAGACCGACGGCCTGTCCTCTTCGCCCCCTTTCGGCTGCCGGCCAATCCATGCTTCCTCGGCTTCCTTCCCAACTGCAAGACCGACGCCGACTGTGAGGTCTGCACTGAACCGCCGACAGCAATGGGCACTGGAGGCGACAATGTGCCGTTCAAATGCTTTAACGCCAGCTTCTCAAGCGACGCCGACACCGTCACCGACGATCCTTGGGTGGCTCTTGTCGAGGCGCTTTTGAGAGTCAAGGGCGGCGTGTCGGCCATCGAGGAGCGGATTGGCAAGGGCACCGGCAAGGTGTGCCTGCCGGAGCTATATGGCGACGGTGAGGGCGGCATCGCCCAGCCGGTGTCGTCCATTACCGCCGGCTTCTCGGTTTTGACTGTGACGGGCCTTCTTGGCGGTTTGCAGGTGGGCCCATGCTCCCCCAATGGCCAGCTGTGCACGGCTGTCGGGGCGGAATGCATCGTGACGGCCTTTGCTTCACCGGTAAGGCAGCACACATCCACTTGTATGTCTCTTGTCTGTGTGTACCGTGATTGTTTTGGTTCAGGTTCCAGGTGGTTGTCTGTTCCCGCCTGGCGTCAGCGAGGAGTCGGCCGAGTGTCCTGACTGCGAGGTGCTGGGCGGCAACTGTGCTTTCGACAAGAGGGTCGTCGAATTTGACGGGCAGGAGAGGGTCTTCTGTGAGTCGCGTGGCACCGCCGAGGAGGGCTTCTGTGACAAACTGTTGACGCCATGCGACCCATCGGACATCGGCACCAACGGCAATTGCTGCGGTGTCGACACGCTGCCTGACGGGTCGCCAGGAGGTGAACTGCACGTATGTCATCCATCAAGCATCAACCAGGTCACGTGTGTGTGTGTTGGGCAGGGAGGCTGGTGTGCCAGCGTGCGAGTGACGCACTGAGGCTGCTATACGACTATTGCAATTTGGCTGGCGGCCCCCTGGACGTCATCCCTCCCCCCGTAGCCAAGCTGTCCTTGGACCTCGCTGACAAAATCAGCGGGCCGGTTTGCTC